ACGCCGTGGTCTAATCCCACACGCCGTCAGCCAAACATGGAAACTCCATTACAAGTGTAAAAGGATTGGGCATTGATCAGTATAGTACACAGACAGGAACCAGGGACCCATGTATTAACCGGCGGGTAAGGTGGGGAGAATGGTCGGATGAGGTAAAGGGCGAACAACATGTGACCAATAGCATCGTCACGAAAATAGATAATATGGCGGCATTAAAATTTTACGTCACCTTGATTCAAAAGTAATGGTCTTCTAGAGCAGTGGTATTCAACCTTTTTTGTTCGCGTACCCCCAGATATAATTTCTCTTCAACTTTGTACCCCCCAAGTTGTTGGTGTATAATTCAAGTTATACATAGTATATAATCTACATCTAAAATAAATTAAATAAATTACATTACTGATTACTCAGCGTTTATTATAAAATAATATATATATATTAAATTTCACGTACCCCCTAAAATATCTTCGCGTACCCCCGGGGGTACGCGTACCCCCAGGTTGAATACCACTGTTCTAGAGAGATCGTGCGTAAAAAGGTCATGACGAATTCGATGAAACGTTTCGTTATTGAAGTTTTGAAGTCTGACAACTCTAGATATATATATATATATATGTATACATATATATATATATATATTAAAAAAAGAAAACTAACTCCTCGCAGGGCTTATTTTAATTTAAAATATCGTTGCTGTCAGTAACACGAGAAACGTTAAACCACTTCGTTTTTACACAAAAAAGTATTTAATCGTTTTTAGTAATATCCTCGTACATTTTGGAAAAAGGGTGGAAATTATAAAAAACCTTACTCGGTAGTGGCTTTATTTCTTTCTGTTAAGTCCATTACTTAATCAATCACGTACTACGTAATAAAAATCCTTGTTTGATGAATCCACATTTTGATCTGAGAAGATTTATGTGCAATTAGTTGAGATTCTGCAGTGTTGCTTGTAAATTAGACGAGTTTTTGTTTACGTTAGTAGTCGATCATTAAATTCTCGCAAGCTTACCATTCGAGTCATCATTTGATATATTTAGTATTTCTGAAAAAATATATCTTTACCAAGACTCGAACCTAGGACAGCTTGACCCGTGTACTTGTAATATCCTCCCCTAAAATAAATAATTGTGTTATTTACGTATTTTCGTCTGTCGTGCTTAGTTTTCGAGTTTATGAAATCGTGTTCTTGGGGACTCGAATCCAGGACAATTCTTTTGAGAGAATGTCCTTTGTTGGCGTAATATCCTCGCTAAAATAAGTAACTTTGGTCTCGTCTCCCTTCTATCGTGTGCCAAAAATCAAGAACTCGTTATTTCTTCTCTAATGTGTTTTTAAGCCAGCGTACGCACTCCTTCACTCAGGCAACAGCTTGTCACGTGAGCATTCAATATTTTCTCCTCTCTCACACTTCAGTCCTCTTATCTGGACATTTTTGTTGGTAATTTTTCATTAGGAACTTTCATATTGACTGTCATATGTCAACCTGGTTTGAATTAACTCACGCCTTATCTAACGTCAGACAACGGTGAAGCCAGGTGGCGTTGTAAATTAATCAGCAGTCTGCTTTGTGCAGGATAACACGGCGAAATGTACCTTCTTTTTATACAGGTTTTAGCTTAGATTATTTAAAGAGGTTATATTCAAAAAAAAACGCGCGTACGAATACATTCACTACATTTCAGTCTTGAATTATTAAATTTTTTCATTTTTTAGGACGATCGAATCGAGGACAATGAGATTGTGTACAAATTACTATATGCACGTCGCCACTAGGTAGCTTTTAGAAGCAATTATGAAGAACGTAAAGAGACACTTGAAATAATTAGTCACCGTTCGGGCATACCGAAATGGTTTTAGTATATGTGTTACCTCAGTTATGGATAGTCTAAATCAGTGGTATTCAACCTGGGGTACGTGTACCCCCGGGGGTACGCGAAGACATCTTAGGGGGTACGTGAAATTTAAAAAAAATATATATTATTTTATGATAAACACTGAATAATCAGTAATGTAATTTATTTAATTTATTTTAGATGTATAGATTATATACTATGTATAACTTGAATTATACACCAACAAATTTGGGGGTACAAAGTTGAAGATAAATTATATCTGGGGGTACGCGAACAAAAGAGTTTGAATTCCACTGGTCTAAATCGAAAGATACGTAATTAAATGTAACTTCAGTTTAAACAGAGTTTTTTTATAATATCGTTCTGCAGTACACGGAAAACGTCGTGTGATGCAGGTAATAACTTCTGTTCCCCCCCCCTTCTCGTTAGCTGTGTTTCGAATATTTTAGATTGAATCGAATTGTTTAATGGCGTGAAAATTGTTCATATATTTTTTGTACTATCTCCAAATTTATCTCACTGTGTCTTAAGAACTTAGTACCTGACAAAGAACAGAATGACATTATCTCTTTGGTATAACGTCCACTCTTGGTACATCTGTACCAAGGTCTGATTAAGTTCTTTCTTTCCAACAAAATTAGGGAGGAAAATAATTCTCTGAGTAGCCTCCCGGAAAGTGAAGAGATATTGTAATCAACTTCATCACCAGTTAAATTTATCTGACAAGAAGTTCTATCGATATTCGAGGGTAGTCGTGTTAAGTTGTGCAGCCAAAATGACAGGCTTTGCCTGAAGCTTAACATAGACGAGGGTAGTGTATAATCCTGCTAGAGGGAGCCACAATTTAGTGCCAGTTTCAAAATATAACGATATAATATCGTCAGTACAGTATATTATATTATATATATATATAAATCGCCATATTTATATTTCTCTGCAAGTGTTGTCTCGAGATTTTTGTAGTCAGTAAATATTTTTCATGGTCAGAAAAAATAATTCTGTCCTCTGCCTGATTTGGTGTTTCATATTAATCGTAGCAGACATCCGAAATCACGTGATCCACTCCATTGCGTGTTTACGTATTTACTTTGTTAAGTTTTAATGCAAGAACAAAGTTATTTAAGCGATTCACGGTCTAGAGATTTCGTATGACGACATGCGTTTATAATATCACTTTTTTTTTTTACGAAAGTGCGGATATAAATTCGTGTAAAATGATCGGAATATTTTGTTGTGATACCTATAACTGGTTGAGCATACGATTTTGAAAGCGAAATTTTAGAAATATACCGCGTAATTCAGAGCTATAGTACAGCGGAAAAATAGAATGTTCGCGGAATCATTTGGCGTAAGGAAATTTAATTCATATTTCAGATTCCAAACATTTTCCGATTTTTGGCGTTATAAAGTTTATGTAACTTTTATTATTGTGGTTGTCAAGTTTTATCAAATTCAGACTTTTTTTTTTACGTAATATGCCAATTTATTTCCTAGTTTGCAATAAAAGGAAGACAGACAGAAAATTCTGTCCTTTTTAGCATTTTTCAGTCGTCACTTCAAAACATTTTTTTCTTTATTCGTATGGTGGAGTCTTCTTACGGGATACCAGCTGAAAATAGGTCAAACTTCGTAAATGTTCTTCACAACTCACTGATTAATCTTCTG